GCATCTATCCCAGGGCAGAGCCAGAATCACGTAGAAGCCCACTGTCCCAAGTCACCATGGTGAAGTGGGTCACTCTGGCTGGGCCTCAGTGTTGGACCCCGCCTGCAACATGGAGCTACCACGAGCCCCACCCACCTCCCAGAACCACGAAGACGCAGGAAAACATCTTATGGGTTCCGTGTGGACACAGGTGGCTGAAAGTCGAAGGCAGGTTTATTTGTAACAGCTCCGTGCTGGAAAGAGCCCAGATGGCAATCAACAGTGGGTGGGAAATAAACCGTGGTGCACTCACATGATGGCAAACAACAGGCAACCGAGAAGAGGCCACTGGCTCCCACAGAAACAGAGATGAGCCTCCCAGACACCATGTCCCTTGAAGTAGCCCACACACAGAAGCCAACATGCATATGACTCCAATTTACATGAAGTTCAAGGACGGGCAAAACTCACCTCAGATGATGGGGGTAAGAACAGCAATTGCCTTTGGGGAATACCGACTTAGAGGGGAGCAGGACTGTTTCTGGGGTGCTGCTCCCAGAACTTGCTTTAGTTCCTATCTATGTAAAATTATTTATTTTATTTTATTGTTTTGGGTGCTAGGAATTGAACCCAAGGGTGCTTTACCACTGAGCTCTATCCCCAGTTTCCTTTTTGCTTTATCTTTTGAGACAGGGTCTCCTTAAATTGCTGAGAGTCTTGATTAGATGCTGAAGCTGGCCTCAAACTTGTGATCCTCCTGCCTCAGCCTCTTCTGAAACAGGAGCTGATCTTTCACATTCTTTATTCCATCATTCCCGTCCTGAGTCAGCCCCTCGCTATGGGCCAGGCAGTAGTGTAGAAGCTGGAGGTGCTGCCTCTCTCTCAGCCCGCCTTTGTGCAGTTGAGACACCTGTGGCATCTACTGTGAGCCAAGAGCAGAGGCCCCTCCTCTCCTGACACTAGCATCTTCTTTCAAGCTGGTCCAAGTGGCAAAGAGCTGGGCACAGAATATCCAGGCTCCTTCCTGGTCTTCGCCTGTGGTGCCCAGGAAGAGAAAGGTGCCTGCCACATGACAATGGTCACTTAATCCAGCACAACCCAGCTCACGTAGCTAGAAGGCGGCAGGCAGAGAGTGCAAACTCAGGCGTCTGACTCCTGTGTCCCTACCCAAAACGCCACTCCTACGGCCTCGTGGAGTCCAGCCAGCAGAGCCCTCTCTCTGGGCACCTGCAGTAGCCAGACCCCAGGATGGCCCTGTTGATTCTTACCTCATGGGAGAAACACCCTTCTGTAGTTCCTCCTGCACCAAACAGGCCTGACCTGGGCACCAGGAAGATAATGAAGAAATAATAGCATGTGTCCTCCAAGGTGGGATACCAGACATGGTAGCTGGCCCTTGTTCTTTCTTGAAAGGCTCACACTTGGGAAACCAGCCACCGTGGTAAGGACACCCAAGCACCCTAGAGAGGGGACCATGTTTGGGAGAGGATCCTCCAGCCCCAGTCTGGCCATCAGAAGATTGAGCCCCAGCCACCACCTTAACTGCCATCCCATGATAGGCCCCTGGCCAGACCTGGCCAGCTATGCCCCTTCCAAAGTCCCTAGCCTCAGAAAAACTGCATCATAAATGTCTGCTGCTGCTTTAAGCTGTGAAAATTGGGGTAATTTGTTACATGATCTTGCTGCATCTAGGGCTGGGGATGTAGGCCAGGGGTGGAGTGCCTGCCTAGCATGTTCCAATCCCTAGTGCCAAACAAACCAACAAGATACGGACTTTCATATTGCTGTGCATAAATACCACAGCCCCCGTCAGAGCCATGGGTTCCTACTGCAGGAAAAGTCTGGAAGGTGGACTGTTAAGACACTCAGACCAGCCACTACAAGAATAGGCTGATTTGGAAATGATCAAGAGCAGCAAGAAATCCCCAGGGTGCAGGAGAAGTGTGGGGAAGACCAAGCAAAGCAGAAATCCCGGAGCCTCCTTTCCTCGAGTTTCTCGCGCACTTTATCTGTCTCAGTAAAGGGAACCACGGGCTCCCAGGCGCTGCCTGAGACCTGGGAGCCAGGCTTGAGCCGGTTGTCCCCGCGGCCAGCATCCCACCCATCAGGGCTCCAGGCCCTTCTGCAGAATGCATCCCACACGCGACCCCACGCACTGCTCTCCTGTGAGTCCCTGGGCCACGCCACCCGCCCAACCCACGTGGGCAGTGTTAGCAGCCTCTTGGGTCCCATCCTGGCTCCTCCTGGGCGCCTGTCCATGGCCAGAGCGCTCTCCTCACAGTGCAGACGGGATGGCACCTGTCATGCTCAGAACTCTGCAGTGTCCCACTTCCTAGCCACACCACCTTCTTCCCAGCACGAAGAGCTCGTCCCACCCAGGGTCTCTGCACTGGCTGCTCTCCTCCTTCCCAGGGGTGTGGCATTGCTGGTGTCCCACCTCACTTCCTCCAAGAAGTCCTCCTGGGCCACCTCGCCTGTCCTCTCTGACCCCGTGCTCTAGCCCCACTCCTTCTTAAATTGTCTGCCTTTTTTCTTTTTGAGAGCGGGTCTCACGGAGTTGCCCAGGCTGGCCTGGAACTTGTGGTCCTCCTGCCTCAGCCTCCTGAGTCACTGGGCTCACAGGCATGCGCGACCACGCCTGGCTGGTTCGCCTATTTATCCTGTCTGCCTATTAGAAGGTAAGTCTCATGAGGGCAAAGATCGTACCTGTCTTGCTCCTGCAGAACAGTGTCCCGCACATGACAAGGGCTTAGCCCACGGTTGTTTAATGAATCCCATCTGGAGCAGGGGATGGGTCAAACGACCTCCAAGTTGATCTGCTTAGAAAACCCAGAGTACAGCCCTCCCACTACCCTCGCCAGCAGAAGGGAAAGCCAGGAGGTGGGTAAGAGCTGTGGTTTCAGGGGCAGACTTGCCCGCTGGGTGGAGCACACCCCACCAGTGGGGCCATTTCCTATAGAGGAAAATCCTATAAAAAGCCCCATCTGTCTGGCCACTGCCCTGCCTGGTCCACCCCTTCCCCTCTTGGTTGGCCTCTGGGGCTGAGCAGAGCAGGATTGCTGCAGCCTGGAGCATCTGAGCCCCCAGCAGATGTGAGAATTGCCAGGCAGGCCGCACCCCCCGGAAGTCATCTTTGGCATCCCTCTGTCTCCACACACGAGGCTGCCGCCCAACAAGGAGCCATCTTCTGCCACATCTCTCTAGGTCACCGATTCTCCCCTTTCCTGGCCCTATGTGATGAGTACGTTCATCCCGTTAGCCTTCTGCATGTATCCTGCTACTGCCCAGAGATGGAAGGGGAGGAGGAAGGGCAGGGGGAAGGGGAAATGTCTCCCCAGGCAGGAGGAATCAGAAGGAAGCACAGAGGTCCAATGACGTGGGGAAGTCACTCAACCCTGTGACACCTCGGCTTCCCCATCTTTAAGACAATATGATCTTTGGCCTCTGTTTTATGCTCTAATGGAATTAAAAGAATGAAATCTCACAATGCACATGGAATGCTTTCGAAGGCATTGCACAAAGTGTGGTACAAAGGCTCATTGCTATTCAGAGACGCAAAAGCAGGAAGAGGGGTAGGAAAACAGAGACTGGAGAGGAACCAGAAATCTGGGGTTAAGGGTAGAAAACTGCCCAAGAACAGAACAAGGAGGAGCATGGAGGGAGAAGAAGGAACTCCCCACCTGAAGATAAGGCTGAGGGGACAGAAAAGCAGGAGATAATACGAGGGGCAGAAAACTCACCATACTGATGTGCCTACTGCAAGCCACAGGCCCTTTGCACCTCAGCTAGGAGAGTGCACATCCTGGAGTCTACAGATGGGACTGGGGAGACCACATCCCTCAGCAAACAATGTACACAGTTTAGGCAAGATCTCGGGGGCGGGGTAGGGGGCAGATCCCTCACTGACTTGCCACTCCATCAGTATCCTGCCCTCCCATCAGCATCCCTTTCCCAATGGCATAAACCATGACGCCCAGAATTCTACTCATCAAGGACCATGTTTTTGAGCACCTACTATGTGTTAGGCACAGGCTTGGCACTTCACACACCTCACCTCATTTAATCCTCATAAGGTACACTCCTTATTCCCACATCCTTGAGGATGAAACAGCTCCGAGAGGTACATGAGTTGCCCAAGGCCACCCAGCTAATAGGAAGGGAGCAAGACACAGATAGGGAGCCTCTACGGCCCATATGCTCCTCTCTGAAGCATCCTCCCTGGGGAGGATGCTTCCATTCCCTGAGCGCCTTCCTGAAAGGTCAAGTGTGAAGGGCAAAGTGGGGGAAAGGGCAGGGAGGGCAGAAGCAATGAGAGGAGAAGGTGCCCAGCTGGCTGCGTGGGAAGGAAAGGCAGGTCGGCCCGGCAGAGTGCAGCCTGAGCGGTTTCCTTCCAGAACTCTTAACCCACCCTGGTGTCCCCACAGCCCCATACTCCAAGCAGCGACCTATGGCTCCTTTGTCCAGGCCTGAGAGGAGCCTGGGCAGCCAGGACACAGCTCCAGTCTCCAAGCTTCAGCGGCCCAGCCAGGAAACGCTGCTGGAAACTGAGGGCTACAGTGGGGCGTGACCGTGAGGAGGGGTGGGACAGTGGCTCAGACGGTACCAAGAGCCTGCGCCGCGATCCAGACCTCCATCCCCGTCCCCCACCTCCCCGGCTTGCCCGCTTCTCCCTCCCTCCGGGTCCTATGGCTTGGACACTGAATTTTCCCATGATGGCCAAATTGGGCCAGCTAGAGAGCTCCCCAAGGCCGGCCAGCAAATGAGGCGCATCGCCCCCTCGTTCGCCCCGACTCCGCGGAGAACCAGGAAAGCACCCTCGAGGTCCCTCCCTCGGACTCCGTCCCGCCAGCCACCTCCCGCAGGCGCGGTGCCCGCCACCCGGCCTCCCGCCCCTCCACCCGCAGCCGCCCGGCCTTCGCCATCACCTTGACCTGCGCCGGCTCCCGGGCCCCGGCGCTTTGCATAAACAAAGAGAGGAGGAGGGACGCGGGCACCGCCCCCGCCCCGCCGGCGCCCCTTACCTTGGCCTGGCATTTCCGATGACAGGAGAAGCTGCAGACTGCGGAGGGCAGACAGAAAGAAAGTTTTAGCCGCGAGGTATGAAATGGAAACTCCGCGAAATCTCCTCCCACCCCGCCCCGGCCGGCGCTCGGAGGGAAGGAGGGAAGGAGGGAAGGAGGGAAGGAGGGAGCCCCGCCGAGGGCGGGCGCAGGGGGCGGCGGCCGCGCTCCGGGCCTGCGGGCGGGCGCCCGGGACGACCGGCCTCGGGCGGGCGCAGGAGGCGGAGGAACGCGGGCCCGGGCGTCGGCTCCCCCGCTGGACCCCGGCCAGGGGCCGAGGGAGCCGGGACCCAGGCCCCGTGCCAGCCCCGCCGCGGAGCAAGGGCCCGTCTCGCCTTACACCCCGCGGGCGGGCAGACCCCGCCGGCCTCGCACTGCACCCTCCCGGGCCGAGGGCCCGTGCGCACACGCAGACGGCCACCCTCCGGCACACCCAGCACCGCTGCCCGGGCACACAGGGCTCACCCACATACCCATGCCACCCTCTGACCGGGCACCAACACTCAGGCGGTCTCGTGGAGACCCTCGGAGTCCGCCGGCCTGGCACAGATTTGGGGATACAGAACAGGCTCGCACAGGCTCCATGCGCAGGAGCGCGCGCACACTCACACACACACACACACACACACACACCCTCGCAACTTGCCCCCACCCCTCCCACTACCAGAAGCTGGAATCAAATTTCCTATCAGGTTCCCAAAGCCTGGAATGTCCCCAACCCCACCCCCCCCACCCACCCCCCCGCCCAGGGCCCTGGGACTCCGTGGAGGAATCTGGCAAACCCCCTCCTCTCAGGAGCCGGCTGAGGGGTCTCCTGGGCTGATTTCCGCGCTGACTTGGGTCTTGTCTGCCCCAGACACACTGAAGCAGGTGGGTGGGGCACTGGAAAGAGGGGAAGACCCTCAGACCCAAAGGGCCAGCAGCCACACACCGCCCAGGGCCACGCTAACACTACCCTGGCCACCGAGCACACAGTCTATGGCACTTTGCCCCACTCCACTTGGAGCCCACCTGATTCTCAGAAAAAGGTCACTGGGGGTCTCAGGTAGGTGAAGGCCCCGGGCAGGGGCGGGCAAGAAGCTCTAGGGCTCTCCACCTGGGGACTCTGGTTTGTTTGAGGCATCCTCTGGGCCTGAGGGTGGGAGACGAGGGTGGGAGAGGCTGCAGGCAAACTGGGTGGAGCCTGGGATGTGACCTTGGCACTGGCCCTAGCTTGGGATCTTCTCCCAACCCAGTCCTGGCCCAGTTCAGGCCTGTGACTCAGCTGGTGGTGAGCAAGGCTTTCCTGACCCCCAACAGCCAGGGACATCACCCTGGCCACACCAGGACACATTCCCCTTGGCCACCCAAGGCACATCCACTGGTCTAGCTCTTTGGCTTCTCAGCTGTCCCCATGCTCCCTACCCCAGGTGGCAGCTGTCTCCCTTTCGAAAGGTGTTCCCTCTCTGACCCCAGCAGCTCCCCAGCCCCACCCCCGGGCCCTCTTTGTGGCCAGGGAACAGGGAATTGAGAAAGCCTCAGCCTTGAGGCCTGAGTCTGCAAGGCCCTCCCTGGGCCGCTGCCTCCAGATCCAGGGACCTCCCCATTGGCCAGCTGTGGGCTCTGTCAAGAATGGGACACCTCCCTCTCCCTCTCTGTCTCCCCACCACCACCACCGCACACATGCACACATGCACACAGAAAACAGGCTTCATAAATGTTTGGGTTGGAGCTGACTGGAGATCCCTGGAGTGTGTGCTGATAGCCACCCCACTCCCTCTCAGCCTCTTCCTGTCCTGTAGCCCCCCTCAACATCTCATGGTCAGAGGCATCTCTCACGTCCACCTCTCAACCCCAGTCTAGACACCAGGGGCACAGGGGGGTCAGAACCTGGTCTTCTAGCCTCTCCGTGTTTCTGACAGTTCCCATAAATCAGCGAGCTCATTCCTACCTCAGGCCCTTGGCTCTTGCTGCTCCAGCTGCCTGGGACATTCCTCACACTCTACTGGGTGGAATCTCTCTTGCCCTCTGGAATCCTTTCAAAGCCATCTCCTCAAAAGGACCTTTCCTAACCGCCCAGATCCGAGTAGGTCGCCACTGTTCTTAGTCAGCTCCTGATCATTTCCTTCTCTGCACAGTTCACCATCTGAAATCATCTCCAGTAATTTCCAGTAGCTCTTTTATAGATCTGTGCCCATGTCCCTCACACCACGTCCCCAACAGCCAGGACGCTGTCTGCTTCAGATCTGAAGGACTGTACAGCATCTTTGTGCAAATTAGACAAAGGCCCACCATCTGGGCAGGCCAGCCCCATGACACACAGCCGGGGTGAGTGTGCTCTGTCCCTGTGGGAATGGAGAGAAGGACCCTTTCCCCAGGCAGGTCCCGCCCTGTGCCAGGACACACCACATGACAAGCAGAGCGTGGGCTGATTCCAGGGCTCCCTCCAGCAGACACCCTTGGAGGTGCCCAGCCTGCACAACTGTACAGGGCAGCCTGCCTGGCACAGAGGGGCAGGCAGTCAGCAAATGCCCTCAAGTGGAAACCAGGAGGAGAAATCTTTGGGCAATCATGGTACAGCGTGCTCAGTGGCCCCAGCCTGCCCTTGGCTGTGTACAGCAGGGGGCAAGGAAAGACCTCCACTAGTTCCCCGCCTAAAGCTCAGCTGGCAAGTGGCAAGTGGCAGGTTCCCAGCAGGTCCAAGTGACCAAGCCTCATCTTCAGAAGCACCTGCCCTCAACCCCAAGGAGGCCTTCCCTCTGAGTCCCCTCCAGGAGTGCCTCTTTTGCATTCTTGATCACCTTCTCAGGTCTTCTCCCAAGGGGCAGTGCTTCCTACTGTCTACCTGGTCTCCCTCGTGCTGTCATCTGAAGCATGGGCAAGCACTTCTCAGAGCAATGAACTATCTAAGTGTGTCACGGAGCGTTCTGTTCCTAGCTCACACCTTTCTGTCAGCCTCCCCCACTCTGATACTGCAATCAGTGCTACAGTTTGGATCTGGTGTCCCCCTGAGATCCATGTAGTGATAGCGTGGTCCCCACCCTGTGGCACAGTTGGGAGGTGGTGGGAGGACACTGGGTCATGTGGGCATGCCCTTGATGAGGATATGGGGACCATGGCACGAGCCACGATGCTCTGTGCCCCCATTGGCCCAAAGAACGGGGCCGAGTGACTGTGGACTGAAGGTGAGCCACAGTAAACTGTCTTCCTTCACGTTGATTCACCTCCGGTTTTTCGTCACCCTGAGTGGAACTCTGACTGAAGGAACTCTGACTAACACATATGCAGAAATGTGGCATGTGACTTCCAAGGCAAGGCCACAAAGCCACTCTGACTGCAGCCTCGGTCTCCTGGATGACTCACCTGGGGGAGGGCAGTCTCCGTGTTGAGAGGACGCACGGGCAGCCCAGTGGGGCAGCCACGTGGGGAGGAGCCGAGGCCCCGAGCCACCAGCCAGCCCCAGCCGGGCAGGCCTGTGAGGGTGCCTTGCTGGGCAGGGACCGTCCAGGCCTGCAGATGAACACAGCCTGCTCGCACCTTGGCCCAGCTTTTGAGAGACCCTGAGCCAGAACTAGTCGATAAACCACTGAGTTTGGGGATCGCTTTCTACACAGCCGCAGAGAACGAATCTAGAGGCCAGAGCTCAGGAGCCAGGCACAGAGGCACACCCCTGTAATCCCAGAGACTTGGGAGGCTGAGGCAGGAGGATTGCTAGTTTGAGGCCGCCCTCAGCAACTTAGGGTGTAGCTCAGTGGTGGTGGGTGGGGATGTGGCTCAGAGGATTCAGTCCCCAGGAAGACACCCAGCCACACACCGAGACCTGCCCTTCGTGGAAGAGGCGGAGCAGCTGCCCAGGGCTGTCCGGATGCCGGGTCCCCCGCAGGCCCTGTGGTCTCACGCTCCTGCACCTGCCTTTCCCCAAAGAACCCTCGGATTGACAACACCTGCACAGGTGGGCCCCCAGCTCTCCTCCGCTGTGGCAGCCCGTGTATAAGGTCAGCTGTCCCCTTGCTGTGTTCCTCCTGAATTCACAAGCTGGATCCTAAGGCCCAATGTCACAGTACTAAGAGGTGGGGCCTGCAGGAAGTGGCCAGGCCACGAGAGTTCTGCCCTCCTGAAATGCCCTGGGCAGCCTGTTGCCCTTCCATCCCTCCAATCTCAACGTCCACCCGCTCTGGAAACAGACCAGGCCTCCCCAGACAGGATCTGCCCGTGCCTTGATCCTGGACCTACAGCCTCCAGAACTGTGGGCCATGAACTTCCGTTGTTTATAAACGACCCAGCCTAAAGCATTTTGTTTCAGAAGCACAACAGACGGAGACGCTGCCCCTCACAGTTGCCACCTGCCTCTTCCTCCCGCCAAGAAGGAAAAACCTGGGTTCCAGCCCTGAAGCTGTCTGTCCCACACGCTGACAGCTGACAGGCAACACCCAGCCTGAGGCTGCAGGACACTCCCTCCCCAGGGGCCTGAAGCAGGTGCGGGAAGAACAAGGTAGGAACGGGCAGCACCCTCCCCTGGCACTGTCCCTCAGGTGCCCAGGCCCTCCCTGGACACGTCTTGGGGTGACCGGGGCCTTCCAGCTCTAGGGCCTTGCAACCAGACCCCCACAGCACCCTCCAGAGCCAGCACCCTTGCAAGGCGAGGCCCAGGGCAGTGCCTGTGACCACAGCTCCGAGGACACCAGGAGCCCCAGGCCTGCCCATGGACGTCCACAGTGTCCACAGGGCAGGGCCAGTGGTGGCCTGAGAGGGAGCAGAGCCCCTGGGGGACAGGCCCTTGGGTACCCACTAGGGGGAGAACTGCACCCCACGCACAGCCCTTGGCTGCGGCTCCCACCCCAGCTGGGCTGCCGGACGCTGTCCTGGGGTGGCTTCCTGCTCTCGGGAACACAGGAAGCCAACATTGTTGGGATCTAAATGGCCTTTTCCTCCTGGTCTCTGGTCGGAAAATGAGCACATGGCCTCAGTGTGCACCAGCGTGCCTAGCCCGGCCTCCCACCACCTCAGAGGGGCTGGCCCG